GAATTAAAACTCAATAGGAGCCAAAAAAAGAAAAAAAACACACCACACCATGCCACCACAAAATTGTATTGCAGTTTTGGAGCCTCACTCTCTAAGTGTTTTACTTGAACCTCTAAGGAGCTGCATTTTCAGAGCTGCTGAGTGTCACAATTTTATTTGAAAGTAGCAGAGGTTGCAGCTGCCTCTGATTTGTCAAAGCCTTGCGCAAGGTAGGTCAGGCTGAGCATCTGAAAACACATACTAGTGGTCACTTGCCCCTTAGAAAAATTGATCCTTGTGTTCTAGATTCGTATGTGGTATGCATCCATTGGCCGTTTTCTTCTTTCTCTTAACAGGCACAGCAGACTTCAAAGGAGACATTATTTTATTTGTTTGTAGTAGAGCTCAGAGTGAAACATGGACAGGAATATGTTCTCCCTGGTTGCCGGTCAGAGCGAAGATGCAATAAGGTGAGCTAGCAGAGTTCTCATAGCCTTCGAGGTGTGTCCTGTGGCACCTCCTCTCTGACTCTGGAAAACCCACGCAGTGATGTTGTCCAGCCTTTGATCTGCCTCCTTTCCTCAGCATTTCATGCTGCTGTTTCTTTTTTCATCAGGTAAAATCAAGGTGGAGTCCCGAATGGACTCTGTGATGATTAACTTGCTGTATGAAATGGATATAATACTTTCCTTTTTCAGAGTATTTTTCACGAGGGTTAGTTAGTGTTTGAACAGGTCTGAGAACTAATACATACTGCATCTTTTATTTTGCTAAGACATTGCTTATTATAATTTTTTTATGATCAATGAGCTGTTTACATGTAGCTTCCTTACAAGCTTTAGTCGAATTTAGTCTTATATATAACTCTCTCATTATATTGTGAGATGCAGAGCCATGAGTAGTCAGAAAGCCAAAGAGAGCAGGCTTTAAAAGAGCTTTTACGATGTCTCTTCTATTCTGGCTTCATCTCTCTCAGGCCCATATTTAAAAAAAATTTAGATTGTAATTTATTATATGTCAACATTCCTTGGCTCCAAATGTATCCCCCTTCAGTTCCTTGACTTCAGTATAACAGAAGATCCAGAAACAGCTGTTTTGCATGACAAATTACACTGTTACAGCTAGTCTTATAATTAGGATGGAAGGCAGATATGTTAGATCCACATTTAGGAAAAGAACGACAAAAGATTAATTGCAGTCTATTAAAATTCTAAATTCATCATCACTGGAAATTTTCTTCACTTTATGCCAGAGTGGAGGAAGTCCAAAGCGTTTGTGAAATGAATCTAGTATGTGCTAATCTGCCATGCCGACCTCATTCAAACTTGAGGGCCCAAATGTATTATAAACCATAATTACTTTAGAGCTAAAATCTTAAGCAAGGCTTTGAGGGCCATACCTGTGAACGCAAATTGAAATTGCCATGGTTCTTGTATAAACAGAGAACTTAATCAAGTAGAACCCATATAAACAAGGCCTTCTTAAATTGCCCCAGATATCAAACACAAAAAGTATTATTAGAACATCCACATTTTATATTGCTTTGGAACACTGTTCCTTTTTTAAATGGATTTAAAGACCTCCAATATAGTGAAGATTTCCATATATTTTAGGTTATGTATTTTTAATTTCTTTTATGTTGGCTAGTAGATGTCACAATAGAACATCATTGGGTATTTTGCATTATTACACATGCAGATATGCAGCGTTTGGCTAGATAATTATGAATCTAGGTTTCTTTTTTCTTTTTTGGGGGACTATTAATCTAATTAAAGTCAATTTGTATCATAGGATTTTTAGTAATATGTTGTCAGTGACTGAAGTGTCGTAAGAGGGAAGATGATCTTGCTTCGTTACTTTTTTTCAGAATACCAGTGTAACTTCTGAGAACAGCATTCAGGGCCATTTAAATCAGTAAGTACATCTTTTTTTTGTTGAAGGCAATCATAAAAGTCTTCATTCAAAAAGTAACTTGATGAAGACAAGTGGGGTCAAAATTGACAAAGACAAATGATTCTTCACTGCCGAGAAACCCATTTTGATGGGTAATGAAATGTTCAGTTTAAGCCAGTGTTTTGTTCTGAGCCTTGGGAAGCTCACATTTGCTTACTACAAGCAAACAGAGGTTAAAGGCAAAACAAACTTCTGCCATTCTCATCTGACTGTGCTATATAAAAAAAAAAAAAACAGCAACAGAAAATCCCTGGCGCTGGTGCTTTGTTACTTTTCTATAATATCCATAGCTTAATTTATCATGAAATGGTTATAGCTTGATGATCAGCTAATTAGGAACACATCATAATTTTCATTGGCAGTATGGAAAATATTACGTTTGGGTAGTTTAATGCAAAGTTACTTCATGAATGCTGGCTTAAACTAACGCACGCGCACAGTATAAGCAGTAGAGACACACAAACATTTCATGACAGCATTAGCAAGAGCATTTTGCAGCTGGCTATGAGGCTGCTTACAGAAACAGGCTAGAATCACAGGAAGTGCAAATGGAGAGTCCTACTCTGCAAAAGTGTGTTATCCTTGTTTCTGTGTAAATTGTTCTTTGTCTGAAAAGCTTTTCGCTCCACAATCTTCCTTGCTAGGATGGCTGAACATTGGAATATTTCCTTTTATTTCATATACAGAAATTTACATCATAAGTCATCTTTTGCGGACTTAGTTTACTGTTACTGTTCTCCACATATGATTCCTGACCTAATGGGCCTCTCTTTAATACAAGCTTAAGAAACGAGTGCAAAGTATCAAGTATCAATCTTATTTCTATAATCAAGTGCCAATCTTATTTCTGTTAGCAGCAGTTTTAGTATTGCTTTATAGTGGGGTTGGACCTTAGTTTTCTTTCCAGTATGGTAGTGTAAACCTGGACGGATGTCACTGAAGTCATTGCCTTTACACAGCAGTCGAACTTGTCTAAGTGAGAGATGAATCTGACCCCACTGATGGCTCTGGAAAGCACGTTTTATGCTATGGCCAAGGCTCGGAGCATTTATGGTAAATAGAACATCATTATGGCAAGTACCAAAACTTTGAGGATAGTAAATTTCCTAATTAAAAAGGAAATCTGGCTTGTCATTTGACATGTTAATCAAAAGGAAATGAATGAGAAGGTTAGATACGTTAACTCTCCAAACTTGGGAAAGGATTTATTTAAGTCAAAAATGTAAAATTCCTTAAGGAAAGCAGAACGTAAAGTCTCTTGGGGGTGGATAGGGCAAGCTGCAGTGTGAGGTATTTGCTACCTTGGAGCTGCACTAAGAGGATAAAATGAAGCAAACAAATCCTTTCTGCTCTCTTGCTCTGTACCGTATGTTCAGCTTATATGGCAGGCGAAGCCACTTCAGCATTCAGTAACAGAGGTTCAAATGGAAAAGTGAGTGAGGGTCCTCTTAAAGTACAGTAGGATTTCTTCCAGTTATTGTTACATTTTCTCTTTCTGGTAAAAAGGATTTATCCAGGGTATACTTATGTAAAATATACAGCAGCGCAAAAGGGATGTTCATGTCTCACAAGCATATGGAATTGCTTTAAGGGTTAGACAGACAACAATGCAAAGAGAAGGGCAGATTACATGAACAGTTCTTTTTCTTTAGGATTTTACAAAATCAAAATATGTATGCTTTGACAAGCCAAAAAATTTAATGCAAACTTAAGTTTAATCAAAGCTATTTATATTGTTACTGCCACATGGCCCATATTTACAATCGAAGAATCTGCTTTAACTTTTTTCTATGAGAAAGAAAGCGTGGTGAGACAGCTTTAACATTCACTGTTTATTAGAAGGATGGATACAAATATATCTGTAAATAAAAGAGAACCGCTTTGGAACAGGGGCTTCTTGTGTGCTATAGAGTCCTAAACATGCTGCTGGCACTAAGATATTAAAAAATAAAATAAAAGTATTTATTATGTTTAAAAAAATGTAACCCGAACAAGATATAATAAAGGCCTGCAGAATATGCATCTTTTCCGCAATGAATTCATCCTTATGTCAATTTGCTTTTATATGTGTAAAAATAAATGTTAATGAAGCTTGCGATACATCACAGCATGAAATTTTGGGTTCATAAAATCAAAATTTGATCCTGACTCAATCCAGAAGATATGGGAGAGGATGTATGAGAAACTCATCTGTTAAACACAGATTTAATGGGCTTGTGAAAGTTCTTACTGGCAACTCATTTTGATCCTTGATGTTTTGCTCCTCTGTTAACGTCATATATAATTTAGTCTGATCTGGCTATTTAGTCTATTTCAAAATAGCTGCCCTAACCATAAAAATAAATAAGAAAGACACTGCCAAAAGATTATGTTAGTCATGGATCTGAACCCACCCTAGATTGAGCATGGGAAAGATTGTCAGGACTAGATTATAGCCTCCCAATTTTCTTTACATTAGCCACAGGATATGCTGCTGAGAAGGTTTTATCTACAAGCATGCTCTGCCTTGGAAAAGCCATAACTAAGCCAGGCAAGTGATGTGTTGATTTACTGCCGCCAGCTGGCTACTCCACCTGATTGGCTATACATTTATTTTGTATAAGTGTCTGTGAATGCAGTGAAAAAAAGAGACCCTATTTTGCTTCAAGGGCTGGTAAGAAGTAAAATATTTTTTCAAGTAAATTTGAAAGACTCATTCTGTCATCACTGTTCACTGACCCTTCCATTCAAAGCTCACTGTGTTTGCGCTCCATTCTTGCATTGTCAAAACATATCCTAGTGAAGTGAGACAGGTTCAAGGGATCCAAAATTAATGTATTATTTGCTCTAGTTGAACAGTAATTTTTTGCATGAGAAAGCATTGACCAGCATAGTTTAAAACGGTCATGTTTCTTCTCTTGTAAAGGAGGAAAAAAAAATTAGAAGAAGATAATTGATGGAAAAGTTCCTTATTTTTTTTCAACTCGTACAAATTTAGACTTGGAGAAGACACTGGAGACAAAACCTATTTAATGTTTCATTGTTTTTCTGTGATAATCAAATAGTTGCTCAGGCCACCTTCTTAAAATTATGCCTTATTGTAAATGTTTTAGTGTTTATACAAGTTTATACTTCACAAGCTAGAAGAACTCACAGTGCCCAGATATTCACCCATTTTTCACGTTGCTTCCTTAATGTTTATGACAAATAATTCCTTTCCTAGTACAGCGTTTATACCTTTCAAATATTTGTAGACCGTGGTCATATATCTACTTAGTTTCTGCTTAGTTCTTCTAAAAATTCCTCAAAAGTCATACACACAGGTTCCCTTTCCTGCTGTTCTTTAGGTTCTCTGTAGTCTGGCAGTATCTCCCGGTGCCCACTGCTGAATATATTCTGTGTTACTGTGTAAGAGTGATATAAATGCATTCAAAAGCAATGCAAATTGCATCTTTATTTATTCTTGGCTGTATTTCAATATTTCCTCTGACATTACTAAGAATACTGCCAAGATTCAGGCTAGTTCCACAGAAACTTTAAGCTTCGTGTTGTGGTGGCTCATGGTCCGGTGTGCTGTAGCTTGACGAGATTCACGGGCAGAGGCACCCAGACTCTCTGTGCTTTACAGGGAGGGACCAGAGCCTCAGGATGGAAAAGCCTCCAGGCCCACACCTGCGGTAGGGAGTAACCAGAAAAGAAAAACACTGAAGACTACTGAGACTGGTGTAGCTCTTTCCCTGATCACCAAAGAGCACTAGGGCTTGAAGAAGAGAATTGACAACCACAAACCTTTTACTGGAACTGGCCAGTAAATTAAGCCATGGTGCTCTCAGGTAAAACTGGTGGTAGCAGTCCTGCTCCTTCTGTTTGCCCTGGAGCACAGGGCATGCAGTGCCTTCCTCTAGGGGACTAGAGTTTGCATTCCCTGCACAGTCCCCTGACCACAAAGGCGCAGACAGTAGCTCAGTTCCTCAGTCCGTAGGGAGTCTAGCCTGTGGAGACAAATGCAACTAGAGCATGAGTATATAAATCTTGTAAGAATAGATTTATTTAATTCTCTTGAAGAAAAAGTAGACACTCTTTAATTACTTTTTCTTGCTTGTCTTCAGTTTAAATTTGCTACAAATGGTGAATCGTGGATATGATAATGTTATCCTCCTTCAAAAATGATTGTTATAATCACAGGAACAGGGATATGGCTTTTCTTTTGAAATTTTCTCCTTAAGATAGAGGAAAAAAAAGATGGGCTGACTCAGAACTTGTCAGTTTTAGAGTGTTTCATTTTTGTCTCAAAGGGGAATTCTTGTTAAATTGTAGGGTCAAATACAAGAACCGGAAACCTAGGGCTGCAATTTGAGAACTAAAAGTAAAAGCTAAAAGTAGAAGCTAAAAGAAACTAAAAGACAGATAGTCCTTAAAGTGAAGCAATATAATTGTTAAAAATTGGTAAAGATCGTTCTAACAGTGAGTCAAAAAAACTTCATTCCATCGTGTATGTGTGTATATGTGTTTATGCCTGTCGTTTATACAGTTAGTATTCTTATTAATAAAACAGGTGACACATGTCGTAATGACTGGATTAATAGGTACCACATCCATGCTAGATGTATTGAATATATTGTACTAACATGCTTATCTTCCTGAGACGTGAAGTATAAGCTCTCCAGAATAGCAAATGGCCTTCATACTTGTCTATTTGGGATCTGACTGGTGGCTCATTGAATTGGGCTTAGCTGAGATAAGTGAATAACAACAGCAAACATAAGGCAGAAAAAAAAAAAGTTAAAAAAAATAGCTAAACAGCTAGAAGGAAAAAAGTAGTACAGAGAGGCATGGTTACCATGAGGAGAAACATGATCATTACTATTATGAGAGCAAAATATAGTAGACCTACAAATGAGATACTTTGAAGTTGAAGTTTTTGTGAGATAATCATTTCCCAGCACAGCACAATCTTAACAGTAAATGTTGTTTTAGCAGTTGGACTGTCCTGGAGCCCAGGCTTCCAGGGTACCTGGTTCCAGTTGGGAGCCGCCGCAGGAGCTCTCGCTTCTGGCAATCCATGGTGCTCAACTCATTTTTTTTGGAATATTTTTCTCCAGAATTTTGTTTTTTGAGGAACATGGGAAATGCCAGAATGTTCGGATAGGTACATGTTTTGGGACAGGAACTAGAACTGCACTTTGAGAATTCCTGGTTCCAAGCTTGGTGCTTCAGAAATTGTCCATTGCTTTTTTGGAGTGTTAATCTACCACTAAGTTTTAAAAAAGAGGAAAGGAGTCTGTAACTTTATTTAGAACATTGAAAATAATTACTTTTCATAACTGCTTATACTTTGAAATTGATGTCTGATTCTCACTGGAAGCTATGACACGCTTCAGTGTAATATCCTTTTTCTGATACAATATTTCAACACATAAAAATCTCCTTTTTGCAATTCTGGACAGGCCAGAATGCACAAGAGTAAGAATCTGCCAGTTTGCTTTCATGTTTGAGCTTTGCTTCCTTGATCATTTCTGTAAACTCTATCACTTTACCTGTCCATGTCACAACTTGTAGCATTGACCTTGATGTTTTGTAATAGGTGTCTCATATGGTCTTTGCTCTTTCCTGTTCTCTCCCTTAATGTCCTTGGTTACCCACAGTGGAGGTTTTCTTCTTTTATAGCCTATTTATTTCTCAGCCATATGTTCTTTCTTTGGACTCTCATTTAATTAAAGCTATATTGTCAACTTGAAAATCACATTTCCATCTGAAAATTTGGTGTCTTCTCTTGTTACAGGAAGGCCTTGAGATGACTATAGCTAAAAGGTAGAGCAAGTTTGGGATTTTTTTTTCCTTTTTTCATTTTGCTTAACTTACATATAACATTATATTATCTGAGTTTCTGACACTTTTTATCCTAGTCTCAGAGATGCTATAAAGAAGGACTCTACAGAAATGGTGCAGCTGAAAGTAAAGGTAAAGAGATGTTAAATGTAGGGGTATGCAAACAGGAAGACCTCCCCAACACCCTAGAAGGACCTCCTGGGGTACTCAGTATGTTTGCTGGCACTGTATTTCCAAGACCCATCTAAAGATAAACATGGCAGCATTTTTTTGAAAGAGAGATTTTCCAACTCTCATGAAAACGGGTATTCAATAAAAAAACAACTTTTACCTTTAAGTGTTTGACTGGGTTTTTTCCATTTCTTCTTGAGGGTCTATTCACAGCTCCAGACAAAGACTGACTGGGTGCTGATTGCTGCTCCTAGGATATTGTGGTTGCACAGTGCTAGTGATCAGGAAACAGGAAAAAAAAACTTTCTTATAAATGGTCATACTTATTGACTGTGATCTTACCACAGTTCATGCAGTACGCTGATGCAGAGCTCAGAAGCAACACTTCATGTTCTTCTTGCTCTAAGTCAGCTGCAGCATTATTATTCATCACTTTGTATTTTCCAACTGTCACTAAAATGAGAAGGTCCTGCCACTGGCTGTTTGGGGAAGAAGAGGAGAAAGGGCCCTATGTCCAGTGGCACCAGGTCCCAGCAGGTGGGCTCATGTCCCCTATGGTCTTTCAGGAATACATGATTGATTCGAGATCTAATCTGGACTGAATTAGTTGGACTGTATTAGGAAGCCATTTTAGAGGAGAATTAGACTCAAGACTTCTCATTTCTCCAGTTGTTTAGAGAAGCACCAGGATGTGTGTGGGCAACTCTGAGATGATTTTATTAAAAGTTTTCATGACTTCTGAAAATATAACTGCTTCTATTTGTTCTTTATTTTTCCCTGCTCTGCAATTCTGGACTAATCATAGAGCAAATATGACGCTCTCTAATAAAACAAGTGTTGAATAAAGAAAAGTTCTTTTTGTTTCTAAATATTCCTCCATTTGGAGGGAAATTACTCCTGATGCACCGAAGCTATATATTATGGGATTTTTTTTTAATTTTAGATTTCGAAACCTCATCCAAGAAAGTTTTAAAATAGTGTTGTTATCTCTTACTCTGAGAGTTGTTTCAGCAGATGTGCTCATAAGTGTGTCATATATGACAAAAATATTTATATAATGTGTTGCGTATTTCCATAGTGTATGAAAATAGACACTAAGGAAATAATAGCAATAGTACTGTCTCTGTCTTGTTATGAATATGGAAATATTTATGTTTGTCTGAGTACAAGACAGAGAGAGAAACCAAGGAACAGATTTAGAAAATGTAGAGGTGATTTATATCTAATAGTAAGTTATGACCTTCATAAATTAGGAGGCTGGAAAGATGGATCACAGTAGCACCACAGTTGATAAGAGCACATAATTGATCTGTCCAAGTTCACACAGTCTTTCTCTCCCTCTCTCTCCCTCTCTCTCTGTCTGTCTCTCTCTACCTTTTATTTCTTTTCTTTTCTTTATTTTTTAATAGAATAGTAATATTGCTGATGGTGAATACAGACAGATGGAGCTGTCACTTTGCTAGGTAAGATAGGGAAGCAGTATGGATTAGGGGGGCGTCTGTGTGTCCCTGTGAAAGGAAATGTATTAACAGTGTGAACAAGAAAATACTTTATTACCTGTTTGTTTCCTGTTGAAAAGTAGATCTGGACAGATCTACTCCACAACCAGTATTCCTTGAGGCTAATGGGGAATGACAATTTGAGGATGTCAAGGATTCTCATTATTTAGGTTTGTAATGATACAGATATCTAACACTGGTGTTAAAATTCTGTTTTTCTTTGGATTGCTGGTATAATGTACATATAAGACAGACATACAATAGCTATGAATTGAAACAGTTTGGGCACATAATGAATAAGTTATTTGTGCCTTTAATGGAAAGAGATCTGAACTAAAAGCACACCGTTTTCTTAATAAAGCTCACAGTCAAAGTGTCTTATTGGATATTCACCTGCTTGTGGCTGTCCAGACAGCAGCCAAAAACACTTTTTCCATCGTCAGCTGGCAAAGAGCTTGTGCCCTTTTCTGTCCGAATCTTTCACAGTAATTCTCCATGCTTTTTTGTTTCCAGGTTAAATTATACTGAGCGTCTTGTAAAGTTAATTTTCAAGTTCCAGTTCAGCAGCACTGTAGGCACTAGAGCGTATTATCATTGTTAGATAGATTTTTACCTATTGCTTCCATAATCAGAACAAGTTCCTGGTTTCAGTCTCTTCTTTGCATCTTTTGAATCTGCCTCCCTCTTCACACTCTGTCCTGGTAACCGAGATGAGCTGAGGCATATGAGATAACCGTCTGTAGGTATTTTGGCACTTCAAAGCAAGACAAACTCATTGGAAGGATATCTAATTCAGCATTTTCTTTCACTTTTGATTCTTGAAGATTATTGACCTGCAGAATGTGTAGCTCAGGCTATTAAGTATGTTTTGGAGTTGCTTTCAGGGTGCATTTGAAGAGATAGTGAGGCTGTACTGCAGTACTGTAATTTTGCTCTCAATCCAATTAAGTGAAATTTAAATCAGGGAGAATCACTAGCATTAAGTTTCTCCGTGCTGCATGAACTTCACAATTAAGACAGCTTGCACAAGGATCAGTTTTGTCCAAGTGCACTAATGTGATTTTCATTCTTGATTAATTTTGGCTCTGATTCTCCTTTCATACAGCATATGAATAAGAGGCAACTTCAATGAACTTATTGGATCTTCATCATTGCAAAAAGCTACATATTCTGACTGAGTATCTTAGCATTTTTTAACGTTAACCAATAGGCATTTTTCACTGGAAAACAGATGCACATGCACATATTCAGGGGCATTCATTCAGTCTATGCATTACTCATGATAATGTAGGAAGAAATAAAATGCTAGCTATTTCTAGAATGGCTGGTACCTTAATGTGTAAGATATAACCAAGTGAAGTGAGCCTTTTTTCTCTTTCATTTGGCAAGAAAATTAATTTTGACTATTGCTTTATCTGAATTTGCACAATGATAACTTAGGTTAAACAGACTTCTCATCTTTTCTACCCAAAGTTATGACAGGGACAGTTCCTTGTAAATCTGATTATTATAATAAAATCCTATTACATTATGGTGGAAAAAAAAATATTTACATGCAAGTCTGCTTTAGTGATTGGCATCAGTACGATACCTAGGTGCACTTCATGCTTCTTTATGAGAGCTGAATTAGATGACCTGGAAGTTCAAAGCAGATGTTTAAGCTTTACTAGTCCTTGAAAAGCGGAAAGATGGAGAAGATGTTGCAATACTTGTTAGCGAAACTTCTCAGAAATTGAATTACACATGCTTTCAGGGCCACATCCCATCTTCATGTAATTTACAGAAGCAAGTTATCTCCCTGACCTTCTGTATGACTACTTCCTTCCTTAATAAAAACAACTAGATCATCTACTTTGACAAGCTAAAACTGAGAGTCAATTTTCATAGCCCAAATCCAGCAAGCTATTAAATGTCACTTGCTCGGTATTGCAGACTCTAACCTCCTTCTGCAGTGGAAGGTGGTCTGTGCCACGCTGGATGACGCTCATTACCTTGTTGCATGCAACGTGTGTGGTGACCTCATCCTTTTGTTCTATTTAAAAGTCATTGACTGTCTCTGAAATCTTCAGAATGTAAAATTCACTTTTAAGTGGGTCAATTCTTTCCCAGTTTCCTAGTTACCTTTTGCTTACTGCCTGACTTTGAAGAGGGTCTAGCCAATGTTCTGGACGGGCTAGATAACACGGACGTTACAGCCTGCGTTTGAACTCCGTTACTAGGATGCAGAGGTTGCCTACACTACACGCTCATCCTGATACAGCCGTGCTGGCAGTGCACACAGTGGATATGAAGTGTGCTGATAAAAGCATATTCTGTTGATGTAGATACACTATTTCCTCGAAACGCATAAAGTAAATGGGCAAAAACATTCTTCTGTCAGCATACTTCCTTACCAAAATGCAGATACTTTCAAGGGGTACCCTGTCTGTTTGGCTTTGGCATTACAGAGTGGACCCATTAGGTTATTAGCTCGTTCAACAAGCTGTTTATCTGAAGTTCTAGGTATTTGGTGTTAATGAAGTATGAACAGGAAAATGTATTGACACAAAGGGCAACACTGATAAAGTATGCAAAGAAGATGTCAAAGTAGGTACTACACTGCTTGCAATACGGCTTTTAACAGAAGAATCCCTTAACAATGTGAATACATAACAATCCACATATATCAGTAAAAAATAGGATGAGAAAGTAAAGCCTAATTCCTTTTTATATTATATTATACTATAAGCATCATTTTTACTGTTATCTGATGTAGATGGAAATCTTTGCCTTCTTCCACTGGACAATTCTGATGCTGTCTGTGGCTGTTAAATACTTTGCTGCCACACTGGAGCATCATGATTATATTTTAATATAGACTATTCTGACCATTTCCAAAAATTCTGGTGACTACAGTTTACTTCCCAGTAGAGAGTATGTATAATATAAATAAGTATTCTTCAGACAAAAAGAAAATGCATAAGTGCTGCATCTCCTAGACAAATGATAAAAATGTGAACTGGATTACAGCAAAAGGAGATTTCATTAAGCTATACTGGATTACACTCCTCACCTTTGAATTTATTCTAACCTTATTGATAGGGGGTTCATTATTTAAAATCCATCAGGACCATCATACAGATAACAACTTTATCTTATGCAGAAAAATTGAAAAATAAAACTGTATCAGAGAGTTAAACAGTGCTAGTGATACATACGTTAGCTGGGTCCTTCATTCTCAAAGGCTTCCAAGATAGAAGTAATCCTTTAATCTTCTGTGTTGAGTCTCAAGGCTCTCTCTTTTAATGCTACACTACACTTTTACCTGCTTTTTCTTACTTTTCTGAATCTCCTTGCTAAATCTATTATGTGTTTATTAGGTGGTGGAGATGTCCCTTCAACCTTAGTGACAGCAAAGGCTTTTGTAAAGTATTTTTATATATAAAGAAGATGATCTCCTAGGGTATGCAAGGGTTCATTACTAATGGTGAGAAGAAGATTCTGAACCCTATGTTGGTTGAATGACAGACTAGACCAGTGAAAAAAAACATAGGATGTTACAGAAAATGGGACAGGATTGTAGAATGGAAGTATATATTGCCTGAATATAAGCCTTTTATCTCTAGGAGCTGTTTTTTATTCAAGCATCTGAATTTAATAGCATTCAATGCGATTTATTTATTAGCCTCTGGCATATTATGATTTTTTATTTATATTTATTGTTGTTCTTCCACAGTAACAGCACTACTCATTTCCCACCACAGAATGGTGAGTAGCAGTGAAGAACTCTGC